TTTATGGGCTTCGCGATTTTTCTTCAGGTCCACTTTGGGGCACAGAGCAAGAGATGAGGGATATTCCATGACATGGGCATAAGACGTACTTGAGGTAGTTGGAAGCAACAAGTCTGATGCTAAACTGAGAGCCTCTCACAAGAGACAGCTGTGTCCAGAGAGCACAGAACAAAGAGCAGTTAGTATGTGCATCTCTAGCGGAGCTATGTGGAATCCACCCCACATAGGGACACCCAACCTTGGCAACTGTTGCTGCCCAAATCCCTGTGAAAGTCCCAATCTCCAGGGAAGGAAGATCTACTGATTTGCTCTCAAGCATCCAAGCTAGATGTGGGAGAGCCACACTGTCTAACTCTAAATGTTCTCCTCCGGCCCTAGCTGAGTCTTGAATCATCCAGGGTCAGGCAAGCAGCTGGTGGAGACGGGGGTCCCATGACTGCATCTCTGTATCTCACAGCAGCAGACAAGAGCCAGGTAAGAAAGGCTTGGTGAAGCAGGTGAGGACACAGTACCTCCCACAACAGATTCACATGGGCACAAGCACACAGATGTACCTCTGGAAAAACAGGCATGAAATCCCTCTGCACCTGGGCAAGTGCGAAGGGAGGACATGGCTTGGTTTGATACCTATAAGCCTTTCTCTCTTCAGGGTTTGCTGCCCACGTGGCAGGATAGAGCAAGTACGTTTCCAAGGTGGAAATAGAAAAACAGCAGTGGGAGACTGAAGGAGATGGCTAAGGTTAGAGGTGCCAGCGTCAGTGATGGCAGGCTCCTCAAAATCCTGCCCAAGAGCCACCCTCTCTCCCTACCACAGAGACTCTTCTGTCAGCCACTCAAGACCCTCTGTCGCTGTCCCCCTCCTACTCTCCACCCTCCTGCAGGATGCTTCCCTGGCTTTATTCATCCACTATTGTCCATGACCATGGAATCAAGGTGTCCTGTGGGGAGGCTACTTGGACGCCCAACAGAGCCCCACAGAGGGGACTTGGCTTGGGCTGGGGACCAGGAGCTAAGCAGCTTGGATTCTCAGGTCCAGGCACACAAATCCTCACTGCTGCACCTGTGTCAGATGGCTCAGAGATAGCCACACACTAACAAGACTCAAAGACTCACCAGAGGTTAGTGTAGGAAAGCAGCCACCAGCATGGTTAAGTTCTATAAAGTAAGCAACATTCCAAGAGGGCTGGCAGGAGCACTCTCTTCTTACCAGGAAGTTGCATGGAAGACTGAATGAAAATTCAGGGGTGGGAGGTGAGTATCCATTCATAGTTGGAAGAATTTAGCATATCACCTATTCATTGTGGGATCTCAACTAGTTGAGGTTTAAACCGTGAAACAATAGATATTTTCTAGTAACTGACCTTCTATGGGTAGGTCTCATAAAAGCATCCTAGCCAGATTCTTTCATTTTAAGCTATTGTATATTATAAAGATCACTCTTGTGTAGTAGTCAACAACACTGTCAATCATCCATCTCTTGTGTTCCACTCTCCCACAATGTGTCCTGGCTCAGGGTACAGCAGGGGGTGGGGAATGGTGATAGACATGGTTTCAGGCACTGCATCCCCTTCACTCCTCTAGAAATAACTCTTCCTCAGCTGGAGGAAGAGAGAGATGGGGGAGAGCCAGTAGGTGTGACTCTCCTTGACCACATAAGAAAGCTGCCAGTCATCTGTTGGTATTTGCACTTTTCTGGCTGGTTTGTCTGTCCGGCTTATGGGCTTATCTCTGTGGGCTGCTCACAGGGGATTTTTCCAGGGATTAGCAGAGGGTCTCAGAGGTGAGAGACCCAGCTCTCATTCGACCTCTGTCACCTCCAACATTTCCACCCAAAAAGCGTTTATGCTGCGGTGTCTTACCGAAGAGCTCACCTTTCCTGCCAGGCACAACTTTCCTATTGGGTTTTGATTCGATGCCACGTGTCTTCCACAGGGGCTACCAGCACATGGGGAACTCACCCATCCTTGTCATGGAGAACAGCAAGCACACAGGTAGCTTCTCTACCATCTCACTTTCCACTCTTGGTTCTACTGTCTCTAATCATTTTCTCTTCCCTGCTTGGGGGAAGTAAGGGCTAGTCAGCAAGCCCATGTGCCAAGGCAGGAAACCAACTGATGATCTGCCCAGTGTTCAAGCATCTCCAGTTTTTGGTGGGATTTTCTTGGGGCTCTCCCCTCTCAGAGTTGGGGATCAGAAAACCCACTTTCCTCTCCCAAAGACGTGTAATGAGAGGGCACAGACTTTCTTCAGAATCATTGTCCTTTCTCTTCTTATTTCTCTTACCACAGGGCTTGGGGATTGGGGGCAGTATTAATTGTGTTCCTGATGGTATTATCCCAGCAAACACTGATGGAAGTAGTTATCCCTAATGCTGGCAGATTCCCCAACATAGAGTGTGAGTTATTTAGAGCCTATTGACCTCCAGTTCCCAGACCAGGGGAAAAACCCCACTGCCATCCTGCTATATACCTCTTTCAGCTTTTACTACCATCTCCATTATGGGAACCAGCCTGCAATGAAGACCAGAATATTCACATTTGCTCTTCAGGGAACAATGAGAAAGACTGCATAAATATAGCTTTGGGTTTCTTTGATGCAACCTCTGCCTTCCAACTTCTACATCCTACATTAATCATCCTTTCCCTGGAGCACCTTCTTTAAATACCTCTGGCTACAGCCTCATATTATCTTGCCACACTTTTATCCTGTGGTATGACTTATGAGAAAATGACTTCAGATCTCAGGATTTTACATTATTTTTACTAATTTAACTCTGAAAATGCTAGGAGATTTCATTGTCATAGTACATACATCCTAAAAACAGTCTCCTTAAAGTTGTACCTATAACATCCTCTGCTCCAGTGAGTCAAGCCACTTAACCCATGGTCTCCTCCCTTTCCTCCTGTTTACCCTAGGCTAGTGTTCTTAACCAGAAATGCCATTTCCTCTTCTCTTTACTGTCAAATCACTGAATTTTTCCATGCCACATCCACAATGCTTCATCTGACTCCTCCTGCTTATATTGATTTTTTTTCAAGATTTTATTTATTTATTCATGAGAGGCAGAGACACAGGCAGAGGGAGAAGCAGGCTCCCTGTAGGGAGCCCTATGTGGAACTCAATCCCAGGATCCCAGAATCACGACCTGAGCTGAAGACAGATGCTCAGGCACTGAGCCACCCAGGTGTCCCTGCCACTCCTGGAACAACCTTTAGGCTGTCTTTTTCATGCGGAGGAACCCCTTTGGTGTGGACATCTGCTGCCGGAAGGGGTCTCGAAGCCCCCTGCAGGAACTCTACAACCCAACTCAAAACCAAGGATCATCACAGTCTGGATCCCAGTAACTGACTGAAGAGAAGCTCTTCTTGCCCTGTGATTTTTATAGTTCCTCGCATTCAGACAACCTGTTACTGCTCTTCAGTGCATCATTCCTGTTTGTAGCCGAGGGAGCTGGTGTTGTCGCTTAAGGTCACCTGTGCAGGGGACCTGGGTGGCTCAGTCAGTGAAGTGTCTGCCTTTGGCTTGGGTCGTGATCCCAAAGTCCTGGGATTGAGCTCTGCATCAGACTCCCTGCTCAGTAGGGGAGCCTGCTTCTCCCTCTTCCTGCTGCTCCCCCTGCTTGTGCTTGCTCGCTTTCTCTCTCTCTCAAATAGATAAATCTTTAAAAAAATAAAGTAAAAAAAAAATCCTGATCCCCAGGCCACAGGACATTTCTTAATGCTGGGATTATTACTTGGATATATTCCATAATTTCACTCTTTAAATTTCTTGCTCTTCAAAAACACTACTGCATGCCACATATAATGGATTTCATTTTGGCTAGCACAGGAGAGAAAATAGGTCTCTTTGCAAAATCCTGTGCATAGCAACCTCACCAGTATGTTCAGCTTTTCCACGCCAACAGTTGTGAGCTACAGCAAGGATGTTTTGATGCTATGCAGTCACAAGGTTGAGGACAAACCACCAGCCAGATCCTTCAAAGCCTAAAGGTAGCACAATCCTGGGAAAATGTAAGACACCAAAAATGAATCTGAGGAAGTTGCATAAAGCAGCATTTTATTCAAGTAAAAGAACTTGTGACCTTAAACAAGTAGTTAAATCTCCTGGCTTCACTTTTTCCTTCTTCTTGATGAAGGATGTTGTTTCTAAAACTTACAGATTTTATTTTTTTTTATTTTATTTATTTACTCACGAGACACACACACACACACAGAGGCAGGATATAGGCAGAAGGAGAAGTAGGCTCCGTGCAGGAAACCTGACGTGGGACTCAATCCCAGGACTCTGGGATCATGCCCTGAGCCAAAGGCAGATGCTCAACCTCTGAGCCACCCAGGCGTCCCTAAAGCTTACAGATTTTAATAAGGATAAGGTGAGGAAATGCATATAATGCATGAATTGGTTGTATTCTTGCTTGGTTATATTTATATAAATGGTTATATTTATATAATCAAAATTGGGAGGTAAAACTAGGGAGGAATTAAAGAAAAGGGCATTTAACTGTTTAGGCCTATAAATGGTTATGAGTTCTGTCATTCTAACATGCCATCACCTAATCTCTCTGAGTCTCAGGGCTTTTATCTCTGATTCCTTTTCTCAAGGTCTCCATTTATGTGTGACTGAATTCATCATTCATAAGCTAAAAACAAGCTATCTGTGGGAAAATACTTTTGACCAGATATTCACTAAATGTTAGTGTAGTATGAAGTAAGCTGTATGCAATCAAAGATAATAAACATAAGTTAAAATTGTGGAAATTAGACAGCTATTTATTTCAGTAAAACTAACTCCATAGAATAATGTTAATTATCAAACAATGACAAACCAGTATCATAAAAAATTCACTCAAATGACATATTATTATCTATCTACTTTTATATTTGAAGTGATATTAAGAAATAAATTCTGGATCTGGTACTGCTAAAATAATCTCTAAAAAGTAAATGGAACTCAATTAAACATTTTCTTTTACTTTTGACCACATTTTCTCCCCTGCAGACATGGACAGAGATAACCAGACTACAGTCACAGAATTCCTTCTTCTGGGACTCTCTGGGCAGTCAGAGCAAGAAGACATTCTCTTTGGGCTATTCTTGGGGATGTACCTGGTCACCATCATCGGGAACTTTCTCATTGTCTTGGCCATCAGCAGTGACAGTCATCTCCACACCCCCATGTACTTCTTCTTGGCTAACCTCTCCTGTGTCGACATCTGCTTTTCATCGGTCACAACCCCCAAGATGCTGGTGAATCACATCCTGGGAAGCAAGTCTATCTCGTACATGGAATGCATAATCCAGATCTACTTCTTCATCACTTTCACCAACATGGATGGGTTCTTCTTGAGTGTGATGGCCTATGATCGTTATGTAGCCGTCTGTTGCCCGCTCCACTACACCATGATCATGAAGCCCAAACTCTGTATGCTTCTGGTGGTGGCATCTTGGGTCATTACAAACCTGCATGCTCTCCTCCACACCCTTCTTATGGCCCAACTCGCATATTGTTTCAACAATACTGTGCATCACTTTTTCTGTGACCCCTATGCAATTCTAAAGCTGTCCTGTTCTAGTACCTTTATCAATGAGCTGATGGTATTCACTGTGGGTGGACTGGTATTTCTGACACCATTTACATGTATCATCATTTCATATGCTTATATCCTCTCCAATGTACTGAAGTTGCCATCTGCCCATGGAATAAGGAAAGCATTCTCCACATGTGGGTCTCACCTCACTGTGGTATCCCTATTCTATGGGGCAATTTTGGGGGTGTATATGCGCCCTTCATCCTCCTACTCAGTCCAAGACACAGTGGCCACTGTCATCTTCACAGTGGTGACTCCCTTGGTCAATCCCTTCATCTACAGCTTGAGAAATCATGACATGCAGAGAGCTTTGAGGAAACTAATCTCAGTTTTTAGAATTAGAAAATTTTAGAGCTTGGAAGATTCTTGGTTATCATATGTTGTTTCATTTTATAACCAGAGAACCTGAGACCCAGGCAGGTATAAATGCACCCACAACTATTTCTCTAATTAATGATATGTGATCATGCAAATACTTTTAATATGAGGCTGGTAGTTGCTCAAAAGTCATAAAAGCATTAGTTTGTTATCTACAAAGAGGGCTGATTCTAAAACACTCATTTTACACACAACAAAAACTTAGGACAAGACATATTTGGATATTTTTGGATGGTTCCAGCAAGTCCATGAGATGCTCTACTCAGCATCAATGGCTTCTAGGCCTCATATTAGAAGATGTGAAAATTGTTCCCAATTTACTGAGTTACAGAAAAGTTACTATTACCAGGACTGTGAAACCAGTAATTGTTGATTATGGTATGATCCTGTCTACACCGAGGGTCACTGGTCATTACTGACTTAGGTAATTGTCCCTCTAGGCCAGGCTCAAGCCAATGCCTGGACCTCTTATTGATCAGAACCCTTCCCTTATACTACTCCTTCTCCCTCACTAACCAGTCTAAATTTTTGGTGCTTTGTTGTTCAGTATGGGTATCAGGAAGCTTCAGATAGTAGCTAGACTTATTCATAGAACTCTTGCTAACTGTTCAACTTTAAATGGGCTAAAAGAAACAGGTTCCCTTGATGCTGAACTGTTCAGAGTTACTATAGCACCTTAGGGACATGAAAATAGGAATTATAGGATTTTGGTGGTGGCCCAGGACTACTGATTTGAAGTCTAGAGCTCTACTCCAGGAGGCCAAGTGTCTAGGAGTCCAAGTTTCTGCTCCTACTCTATACCTGAGGGCTAAGAACCCATAAGTCAGTTCCTACCTCTTCTTTCCTGGTATCCAGAGGGCACTCTCCTAATCTCCAGTAGCCAGTCTTCAATATCTGCCCCCCTCACTGGTCTTCTGGCCTCTCACTTCTCTCCTTTCTCAATCTCCTCCAATCTTATGGCTAATCAGTATTTCTTATCCTCACCATCAGCTCCTTTCTGCTTTGGTCCCAACACTGACCATCTCTTATCTTGACCACAGCAACATGCTTATGGGGGAATCTGACTGCCTCTCACTTCTCCCTGCACTTAACTATCCTGCATACAGGATCTATTTAATCCTCCTAAATCACTGACTGTATCCTGTCAGCCAGTCCTTATATAAAACATTAAGAAGCCAGGATAAATCCAAAGATCACCTTTGAATATAAGACCTAACATAACTTGGCCTCAAGCTATCCCAACAATTTTGTCACCAACTCATATATTCATCTGTTCCATGACTTGTCTCTCCTAATTTTCTTTCTCTTCCCTTCATTCATTTTCTGCTGGAAGACTCCTCTGGTCTTTTAAAACTCTGATAACTGTGTGTTCCCCTTAACTTTTTTACTGATCACAGCCCATAGATATGTACTGAGTATACAATACAGTGCTTCTCATATGTAGTACATGAATTCCCTACTATATATTGGTGCCAGTGGAAACCTGACTACACGTGATAAACTAATGTATTTCCTGAACTGTGAGTTTAATTTTAGAAGTAGTTTAGTGCAAATGTTTGAGGTAGAATAACATAGACCAATGTTGGTATTTAAGGTTATATGACTCATCATGTTCTTTGCATTACCCATATCTATCTGCATACACGTCTTGCCTGATTATTACTTTACACACTTTTTCAAGAAAATGCCATAGATTGTCCATGGGCATATCCCCTAAATGCTTAGTAGAGTTTTTGTTCATCCCAAATAATCATGTGTTGACAAGTCATTGATGATGGGCTAGGCAAATCTAATGGAAAACTGGAAGGTGAACATTCCTAGATACAAAAAATCAGAAGTGAAATTTTATATCTAGGGAGCTAGAATATTGACAAATTTACTCCAGAACATGGAAAGATTTCACTGAATTCTGGGACCCAAAGAGGCAGCAGGGTTGAATGGAAAGAGCCATAGTTTGGGATATAGTTTTATTCCTCAGTCCCTCTCTCCCTCAACTCTCAGACAAAGGTTGGGTATGATTGTTGGCAAATTGAATTTAAATAAAATAAAAATTTAGAAAGGTTGAGTATGAGAATGAGGATGAAGACAGAGGGAAGTTGATGAACAGACTATATGGTGCAGAGTCAAAGGGAAAAATCATTGTTTACCCTTATGGTCCCCACCAATTTATCTCAGAGAGAAGTTATCATTCATCATACAGCAAGCTTGCCTTGAAGGGGAAAACTATTCTCTAAAACATCAGCAACATGATGTGAGCAGAAAGAGGAGATATTGCCTTCTTGCTTGGACTGGCCATGGCATGAGAAGTTCTATCTATGCAGCCAATTCTATGATAGCCTCCGGTCTTTAATCCTCCTGCTTCTGGGGGCCACCTTCTAGTGAATCTTCACTGGCTCCTTGAATTACCTTTCATGGGGCAGCTACATAAAGGAACTGTATGGGAGATAGGGAAAGGAGTTTATTTCAGGGACCTGAGCAGAATCAGCCTTTGTTATGGTTTCCTGCATGTGAGGCACTCATGGGACATGAACTCATGGACTTCTGAACTCGTAAATTAAAGCTCAGCATCATTTGGGGCCTCTAGTGGCCTCCTCCCCGCCCCCACAGAAGCAGATGAGGGGCCAGGCTGGCAGAGTCCTCCTTGGGAGCAGCCAGAAAATCAGGACTGTGTCTGGGAAGTCACCCTCCAGGGCCTGCTTTCTGCAGCTGGTGCACCCAACAGACACCATCCTTCTTCCTCATAGGCAACTTCCAGGTAGCACTAATTAGCCACTAGGGGCCAGCTCTTTGCAAGCAGTTGAAACAACTCGCAGGGAAAAGTTTTGACTTTAGCTCAGCTAATGTTGAAAGACAAGCTCATCTCTCTTCCCAGCACATTTCCCCAGACTCTGCTCTCCCCAGGGGAGCAGGGACTGTTCCATATCATGGCCACTGCAATGATATGGTTCATGGAACCCTTCTCTCCCTCCAAATTGTGCTTCAAGGCCCTGTCAGCCAGGGAGCCTTCCAGGGAGCTGAAGCCTTTCCCTGGGAATGGCAAGTTACTGTCCTGCCTGTAGTCTCTTGCCTCCCCGTGCTTAAGGGCAGGAGCTAAGCTTCATGTGGACTTTGTCTCTCACAATGTCAATCGGCCTTCAGCAGATGACTTTGTTCTGGCCATTAACTTTTATCACACGAATACTAAAAACTGGTTGTCTAACTAATGAACTCTGACTCCTAATAAATCTGGTTATATAGATTAACCTTTCATGTGTGAGCCACACAGAGGTAATAAGCATCTTGCCAAACCCATTTTCAAAACAGGCCATCTTTTATTTGGTAGAAACTTTAGGCATATTATGTTGATAGTCAAAAACCACTGGTTCAGGCTCATCTTGAATTTTTTTAAAAATATTTATTTATTTTAGAGAAAGAGTGAGTGTGAACGGGGGCAATGGCAGAGGGAGAGGCAGAGAAGCAGACTCACTCCCCACTGAGCATGGAGCTGGACATGGGACTCAACCTCACAACTTTGAGATCAAGAGTCAGATGCTGAACTGACCGAGCCACCCAGGCTCCCAGCTCATCTTGCTTTTTATTTTTTATTTTTTTTATCTTGATTTTTAAATGTGAGATACAGGGGTGCCTTAATGGCTCAGTGGTTGAGTGTCTGTCTTTGGCTCAGGTCATGACCCCTGGGTCCTGGGATTGAGTCCTGCATCAGGCTTCTTCCTCTGTCTATGTCTCTACCTCTCTCTGTGTGTCTCTCATGAATAAATACATAAAATCTTTAAAAAAATAAATAAATGTGAGATACAAGTGATATTTAGGCACATATCTGCCCCTATATTGTGGAAATATCTGCCAAGAAGGATGTAACATTATTTTTGTTCTTCCTTAGGTCTTTAAGTATGGACATATAAATTACTTTTGAGCCAGGTTATGTGAACAGACTTTCCATAACTGATGTTGATATACAATCTGCCACTTAATACTTTTCAGAATTTGGTAAAAGAGTGGTTTATTGAAATTGTCAGCAGTTATGACATGTAGTATAAGAAAGTAAGGAAAAGCTTAAAAAAAGGATGAAGGCACAACAAAGGGAAATAGCAGCCAACAAGAAAGAGCTCCTAATGGCCAAAGCTAGAACAATTCAAGCAACAAAGTACATAGTACTGGATTATAGTCCAAAGTATAAAATAAATATACATAAGTCTATTCTGATGAAAACAAGTGACTGAATAAACAAATAAGTGGGGGAGAAGGGATAAACTTTCCTTAACAGAAAAACTCCCAAGTAGGTACTTCTTCCATCCCTACCAGCCAAAAGGTGAAACTTAATCCTCTTCTCCCTCCTTCCTGGTGGCTGGATTTAGTGATATATTTCCAAAGGCTAAAGTATAGAAAAGTGAAAACAATAACTTTAAAACAGAGAAATCTGGAAGATGATGCTACCTTAACCAAGTAATCAAGGTTAACATCATCAATGAAAATCATGATGGTATCATGTGCTTCCTATATGATGTGATGAGAAGGGTCCTCCACCTCTGTGGGATTCTTCCCCCAAAGCCATGATAGACTAATCATGAGAAAAGTTATACAACCCAAAATACTCTTCAAAACTGAAAAGGTTATGAAGAACAAGGAAAGACTGAGAAACTGGTACAGATCAGAGAACAAATCAATAAAATAGATACTAAAGAAAAAACAATGGGAATGAACAATAAAACCAAGAGCTGATTCTTTGAAAAGATAAACAAAATTGATAAATCTTTAGCCAGAATCATGAAGGAAAAAGAGGACTCAAATAAATAAAGTAAGAAATGGAAAAGAAGCCACAACCAACATGACAGGAATATAAGAGATTATAAGAGACTACTATAAAAAACTATATGCCAACAATTGTGTCAACCTAGAAGAAATGGATACATTTCTAGAAACATAAAATATTCCAATACCGAATCAATAGAGATCTAGCTGAGACCATTTACTAAT